TTGCAACGGGTCTCTTGTTCGTTTTAACGTCGAAAATATTTCCAACAATTATTGCTATATTTGGATGAACTATTGCTGATATTTTCTAATTTTTCAATGTTTTTTTTTAAATTTCTGTAAATTCTGTAAGCTTCTCAACGTTGTCGTCCGTTTTTCAGAATTTTGAAAAATAAATTGAAAAATGAGAAAGTATATAATTCTTCGAGCTGGAGAATATTCACTTGAACAATTAAAACATATTCACTGCGTATTTCATGGCAATTTCCACTGGAATTGAGTGAACAAATTCCTTCGACTTTCCTCGGCATATCGCATTATCGCAAGAGGCTTTTCGTGGTATTTAGTGATTATTTGATGACTCACAAGACGAACTGCGTGAAAGAATTCATAATTGTAAACCGAAGGAAAATCCTCAGAGACAACGGCTTCTTGTTTTTCAATAGATTATTATGTTTAATATCATAATAATAATCTGTAATTAATTGCCAATTGTTATCTACACAGATAAAAAATTTTGATGTGTACCATCGAAAATTCTTATACTGGATGAATGGAAGGATTTTTGAAAAGGCTTCGAGTTTTTTTAGTTATGACACTCTTGTATGATTTTAAATGTAAAAAAATGCTTTAAACTTTTATACATGCAAACTCTATCCGTTTCAGACATTCCGAAAATTATTTTAAAAAAAGAGAAAAACCCGAAGAAATTAGATGAGAAATGAGATACAACGAATTTCATATTTTTATTCACAACCGATTTATCTCGGAGATTATCGATGTGAGGTGGAAACATTAAAAGGTTTTTTTCTGAAGCTGATGAAGTATCAAATAAAGTCATCTTTTTCCCAATTAAACCAATTATTTGTTGAATTCATCTATATTTAACAATGGCATAAAATTGTACTTATATCAATTATCACTTCGCTGTACAATTCGAGTATTAATTTTTAGAATTATCAATTTTTTTTAATGTGTCGGAACGGAATAACTAGAAGAATCACTGGTCTACATTAATTGAATAATGATTCGAAAAATTGTTTCCATTCCTCTCGATTTCTGAGACAGAAATTCCAGATGGAACTAGTTATTTATATATTTATTCA